AAGGTTATTTGTGGGAAAGTTTCTGCAAATCAGGCAGGCTTGCAGACCACAGCACTTGCAAGATATATTGTGGTTATCTTGTTATGCTCATAACCCTGTCCTGGGCAGCTGGTATCTGAACTCAAGGTCAAGACTGGTATAATTCCATGCCTTAGCACAGAACTCCCTCAGGGCTCATCATGGCTCCTGGGCAATCTTGTCCTGCACCTTTGCACAGAAAGTTCCCAGAACAAAGCATAGCCATAGCTCCAAGGCAGTCAAAGACCATGGTCAAAGCCACTGCTCTCCACAGTAGTATAAACACATAATGAATATTATTCAGCCATAAAAGACTGAATTAATACTGACTGATGCATGCTACAACATGGATAAGCCTTAGCAAACATTATGCTAAGTGAAAGAAGCAGTCAAAATAGTTCATATGCAGTATGATTTCATTTATACAAAAGGTCCATAATAGGCAAATTTATAGAAACAGAAAGTATATTAGTGGTTGCCATGGACTGGGAAGCGGGGAAGGAGGAGTTACTGCTGATTGGAACAGGCTTTCTTTGGGGGTGATGAGAATGTTCTGCAATCAGATAATGGTGATAGTTGTACAACTTTGTGAGCATATTAAAACTCATTGAATAGGTGTGCTTTATAGGGTGAATTTTACAATATGTGAATTATATCTGAAAAATAATAAATTATTGAGCTATTAAATCAATGGTGCATATACCTCCGAATGGAATCGCTGGTTCATATGGTAACTCTAACTTCTCGAGAGATGTGAAATTGTTTTCCAAAGTTACAGTACCATTTTACATTCCTATTGGTGATAAATCAGGGTTCCAATTTCCCTATATCCAAAGGTCCATTTTTTAAAAAATATTTTTTTAATTGTTAATGTACTTTTATTTTATTTATACATGGTACTGAGAATCAAACCCAGTGCTTCACACATGCTAGGCAAGCACTCTACCACTGAACTATAACCCCAGCCCCCAAAGACCTACTTTAAAGAGATCCTATCAGACAAATCTGCAATGGATTGCGTGGCAAAGAAATGTAAAATGCTGAAGTTTTCACTGTCTTAGAAGCATATATGTGCTTGTTTGCAGGTTTCAGAGAAAATCCATTGATGGAAGTTTTGGTTCCAATGATGGTAAGAAAAAAAATCCCTAGTTTTAATTCAGAATGATGTTGAATAGCATGATAACATCCTTTTTGTGCTATGTTAGACTCTCTGCCTTTTGCAATTTACAAACCCTCCCTTGATTCCTATCCCACATAGTCTAATCTTCAGTCTTTCTGCGGAAGCAGAGCCAGTGAGAACTGATTTTGTAGCTGATAATTATTGAGACATGGAGCTCACACTAAAAACCTTAACTTGGAGGGTCACTTGTATTCACAGACCTTCTGTCAGCCTTCATCTTTTAAAAGCATTTCTTCTTTTCCTAGAAATAATTGTTCATATCTATCTTGTCCCAAAACTGATTTGGGAACAACAGTGAGAATTTATTGTGTCAACTCTAATAAAGAGTTTACATTTCCTAGAGTAAGGTAGAAGCTTTTTTGTTTGTTTACTAGGTTTCTAGAAAACTAAAATGTTGGAGATTAGTCAAGTATAATAAAGAATATGATAATTGGGGGTAATCCAGAGTGATTAAATATGGAACCATCATTATCTGCCCTTTCCTCCAATCTAAGAATTTGAACAAAGGAATTCAGTTGCCTGATCATCTTATCAAAAGTTTAAAAAGTTTAAAAGTATTCATTTTTGAAAAGCCTAAATCAGGATAAGTTACTCGGTGCTGATAAAGTATTTGGTACTGAGAAAGAATCTGAAAGAAGAGATGATGAAGTGAGAACCGAACTATTAAGTCACAGATAGTAGATGTTTTGTTCTATATCTGCCCCACTTAATGAGTCCACAGGAATCTTAGAAAGATACAAATTTGCCCTGCACCCACCCAGCAGGACCATTTCTCCCTCTGCTGGAAGGCTTGCTTTTCTTTTTAATCTTCATCTTCCTTAAAGTCAGCATGTCTATTTTTCCAGCCTTGCAGGCACTTTGTTTTAATGAACAACTGCCAATATAAAAGACTGTGCAGAAGAAGATCTACTCTCATAGCTCTAAATGCCAAGTGCTGTTTTCTCTTTTATTTATAAAATGTTTCAGTAAATTTATCTTCCTCTGAATCTTATCTTTTTCCTATAATGATAGGTTTTGCTATTAGTTTAGGTCTAATCAAACTTGAGACTAAGTCCAGTTGGATGGATTTCATTGGGAATAGATGGCATTTTTTATTGTACAAGTGTCGTTGTTTTTGTTTTTTCATTGTGATAATAATTAAAGGAATTCATGTTCCAGTTTCTTGAACAATAAAGCATAAATAAGCAGTGTTGATATTTGAGCCAGATCATTGTCCAAGATCAAGAAGGCTCTAAAAATTAGCTAAGAGGTACAGACATCCTTCAGAGGACAAGCAGAAACAAATGAATGACCAAAAATAATAAAGCTACATCATTAAGATCTACCTGACTGCAAAGAACAAAATCTGTAACCACAACAAAATAATGCCTCAAACACACTAAAACAATTTGAGGTTCCTTTCCTGGAAGGTAAGCAGAGCCATGGGGCTCAGGATTGAAGGAGTCCAGTGGCTTTGGTCCACTTCCCTGTCATTCCCTCAATTCTGTTTGGCTCCAAGAACTGGTGGGGAAGAAGGGTCTAGGCTCATACCCCTACCTGCCAACTGAGGAGGGAGGGCATTTTTCCAAAGTCCCTCCCCAGCAACTTTCTCATGTTTCACTGGTCTTCAGGGAAACATACTGTTAAACTAGTCACTGCAAGGAAAAGGTCTATGTACACATCACGCAGACTCACTTTTAGAATTAGAAGGAGATCCTCTCTCTTAAGACTAGGGTTTTTCAAAATCAACATTATTGACATGACGAGCCAGATAAGCCTTTGTCACTGGGGTTCTTCTATACATGGTAGGATGTTTAACAGCATCCTTCAGCCTTCCTGTTTGATTCCAGAGTACAATTCATCCTTTTGACAACTGAAAATGTCTCCAGACCCTACCAAATGTTCTCGTGAGACAAAAGTAACCTCCTTCTCCTGCTTGAGAATCCCTAACCTAACACATCTGCTGCCAGGCACAGGTGAGAATGTTTGGATGAAATGGCAGCTTGAGGCATAGAGAATAGGAGCCTTTGTAATATAAGGAAGCTTTTGGAAAATTGGCACCACCTCCAGTGTCCCATGACCACTCGCAAGCCAAGACCAATTTGTTTAAATCAAGAGCAGGAAAAGACAAGCTCTTCTGGAAGGAAGAGCCAGTGAGTGACTGGAACAGAGCTTGAGAAGTCAGCCAGGAGAGAGAGTCAAAGGCAAGTCAGGAAGATCAGAAAGTTAATGTGAGACAGCCGTGGGAGGGACCTTTGGACAAGCACAAGGAAACAGAAATGTCTTTCTCTCCCGAGGTCAGGATCAGTGTGACATAGGGCACGGAAGTTCTCTGCAGCTCAGAGCTACAGGAAATGTTCTGAGGGCTAGAGGCCAGAGAAAATGCTAGGAGAGCTTCTGAAAGGGGAACTGGGATGGTATCACACAGAGATTCAAGACTCACAGGCATCCCACACCTCTATGGAGCTAAACATCAAGAGAACTTTAGTATAATGCTTCCACCCTAGGTTTGATTGAGGTGAAGGAAATGCAGCCAGGTGCTATATAAGCTGCCAAATGGCAGTGGCTCTGTCTTGCTAGGTAATGATAGAAGGACTGCATCCGAAAATCTGCTGGCTACTCTGAATTTGTAGTTTAAGTTTTATTTGAAAAATACAAAATGTTGGCTCCAACTCTACTAAACAAGCAAATGGATTTCTTTCATACTTCATGGAATGAAGAAGATGGAGACTCTGGAACCTGGGTGGGGTGGAAACAGCTGGTAAAGAGCCGACCTGGAAGAGACTTTTTTGTCATGGTCAGAATAGCTGGACAGTGGATTCTTGAGTCCTCACTTCATAAAGGAAAGGGCTTTGTGTTTTTGATCTGACGGACACTGGATAAGGCTCTGTGCTTTGAAGCATTTCCTCCACTGGCTCTATCAGTGAAGAAACCTCAAATTTCAAATACTTATTAAAGAGCCTCTATAGAAACTCAATTGCCAAAGGAGAAGAGAGAGAATGAAGCCTTCCTTGCAGGACTCCTTATGGTTGAGCCACGAACCACAGGGGCAGCGTTAAGTGTAGGTTACTTCCTCAAGTGAGAGAGATGACAAGCCCAACAAGATAGTAGATTTAAGAAGCAGTGGTCAACTGTTAGTCCATTTTCTGTCTGTGTGAACAAGCTGTGTCACTAACGTAGACCAAACACGTTTGTCTCTTTCCACAATGAATAACAATAAATTCTGCCACTTGTGGTGGTTCTCCAAATACTCACAGTCACCTGATAGTCATAAGCCAGGAAAATACAAATTCTATTATTCTAATCTTAATTTCTAATATCCACAACACTCACATCACACATCATACTTCACACAATGATATGTAAAAGGTCACAGAAAGAGTAAGAAAGGATTCAGGCAGCCACAGGGCTACAGGATGCTGAGCCAAGAACACAAGCAGAGAGAGATATGAAGGCAGAGTCAAAGAGTCACTAGAGGTAGTTAGATAAGTTTAAGAACCAAAGAATTTGTTCAGGGTGCAGAGCTGTCAAAACACAGGAACTTATTCTAGGCCAAGGTCCGGATGGGCAGCAGTTTCACAATATCAGCTTGAAATGTCAGCTTGCAGTGGGCCATGCATGATCATCACAGGCAATAGAAATGGCCATTTGTTAAATCTCAAAGACAGAGATTCAGAGGTCTGTCACTGTGGCGATTTTCCTGGGCAAGGCTTATGATGAGTGACCGACCAGGTGATGGGATCAGGATGCTGCCATATACACTCTTGAGGGGGCTCTTCCCATATGGGTCTCCAAATATGAGTTTGATATGCCCATGCATCCATATATGCTTCTGATTATTTTCATAAGTTCAAAGGTGGTCATTTTTTTATTGCCGTGATTAATTTATTCATCAGTTTGTGTCTCATGGTTGTGCCAGGCAGATAGTGGTTGTTTACTTGTACAAACAAGGTATGGAATCATTCCACCTTAGCACTTAAACTCAACATGGAGTAACTCAAGTTTAGGCACAGCCTGAAAATTGTTGTTCTGTAATCATGGTGCTTCTCAGAGCAAAGCAAAGCCTGCTCACCACAGGGTCACTATTACAGAATATCTGAGACTAAAAATTTGTAAACAAAAGAGGTTATTTAACTCATGGTTTTAGAGGCTGAAAGTACAAGATCAGGCAGCCCCATGTGTTCAGCCCCTGGTGAGGGCCCCCTTGGCTGCACCACAGCTTGACAGAGGAAGTAGATAGACCATGTGCAAAAGGAGTCACATGACAACACAGGAACCTGAAGAGATTCGAAGCCCAGGCTTGCTCTTTTATTTGCTCTCTTGGGAACTAATTAGGGTCCTGTAAGAACTTTATTAATTCCCTGATCTAATTACCTTGCACAGGGGCCCACCTCTCAACATTGCCACACTGGGGACCAAACTTCTAATACATAAACCTTGAAGGATACACTGAAGCCATATTCAAACCATGGCACTGACCAAACTGTGTCTTGGATAGAGTCATTATTTCATAAGCTACTTATCAAAGAGCAGGGTCCGATGGGGATAAGACAAAGGGCATGTTGAGTTTGGGGAACTCAAGGAACAAAACCCATCATCAGCCTGCCTGGAAATGGGTTTCAAATTCTAGTCCTGATCTCTACTCTTTTTCAAAATTTCTTTGACTCCCCGCCCCCATTTTTTTTTCTCTATGGAAGTTTTAATTTTATATCTCTCTGTAAAGATTAATGGTTCTCTTCAAGTCTTCTTCAACTTTTGAAGCAAAACATGAGACTAGTTGGAGTAGTAGCCTATTGGTATAAAGATAACATTTCCTGATGGCTAGTTCACATCATTTCTGACTCTCTTCAGCTTCCAATCTCGTGACTCTTCACAGAAGAAAGGGGCAGGACAACTGTAAATATGAAATCCCTGAACGACCCAAACATGCTCAACTGGAAATGAATTTCTTCTGCTCACATAGGGCATTTAGGATAAAAAGGAGACAGATGGCAAGAGGCTCATGCTCAGAGAAAAAAATATACCCAAACAAGTGTCTTCATTAAGATGTGTTCATTCACAATCTTATGTCTGCTATTCCCAGCCAGAACATTTTGATCTGTCCTGTAAACTGTTATCTTGTGTTTAATTCTGCTTTTTAAATGCTGTACAGTTTAAAATATAAATATGACCATGATTACACTTTGAAGTTTAGAAGGATATGCTTTCACTTTTTGCATTCTTAAAAGGCCTTAGACATAAGGAAAATTAACAGAATTTTGTTATTCACCTTGGTTGATCTCATATTTAAAATTGTGCATGGATAAACCCATAGAGTCACTCATTTTTATATCTGGCAGTTGTACTGTACAACAACCTTGGTGTTCCTATCCATGACAGAAGCCATGATGTTGCAGTTGCCTCCAAGTGAACAGGGCCAGCAACTAAACCAAAATCAGAGCATGCTCAGTTAGGAGCCAGTGCAGAGCACAGACATCAGTGGTTCATCCAAGTCTGTAAAGACCTATACAGCTGACTTTTTCATTTTAATGTAGTTGTTACCTAACAAAACTGGTGATCCTTATTTGTTCCCTTGCTTTGATTTTAGTTTTTGGATTTTCTTTCTTTTTTTAAAATTTTTTTTAGTTGTAGATGGACACACAATATCTTTATTTATTTTTATGTAGTGCTGAGGATCAAGCCCAGTGCCTCACACATATGAGGCAAATACAGCCCAGCCCTGTTTCTTTTTGATTACACATCCCAGAACAGGTTGAAACCTTCTCAGGAACATTTCAACCTCCTACCGCAGAAGAACTTAGGCATTTTTCTGTGCACATTCCACTTGTTCCATATCCCATTAACACTGGAAGTCTAACGGTGTCCCATGTCATTCTTTATGTACTATTTGCACACATAAAAACTTTTCAAAATTATCTTTTAAACAAAATATATAGGTTAATGGTTAAAAACAGGAAGCTTAAACTTTAAAGGCTAATATAAAAATACTGAGGGAAATGTAAAAGACTTACAACATTATCTAAGCATGAGACCACAGCAGGGGTTTATCTTTAGACTCTGGCAATAAACTAGACAGAAAAAAAAGGAGCACTGTGGCCTTACCCTACAGGGAAATATTGACAAGACACACCAGCCAATCTAAACAGCAAAAGTTGTTCTTACTTTTTAAAAATAGGAGTTTATTAAAGTGGAGGTACAAAGGAACCACAGCCTCCTTAAAAAATATTCTCAGGCACTATGTGAAAGTAACATGTTTGTTGCCCGTTTTTCATAGTTTGAAGGAAAATATCTGTACTTTTTCAATTAAGACCCTAAGTTTTGGGATACATGTACACGATGAGATATTATTCACCTTTTAAAAGGAGATACTACCATTTTTTACATGATTCTGTGGATGAACCTGGAGGACCTTCTGCTAAATGATATAATCTAGAAAACACTGTATGATCTTACTTATATGTGAAATCTAGAGCAGACAACACATTGAATAAGACATAGAAACAGTGAGTAGACTTGCAGACTTGTATTTATGTAGGACGAATGAGTCTAATGTACAGGAGGATTCTAGTTAATAGTATTGTATCCTATATTAAAACTCTAAGAGAGTGGTTTTTAGGTGCTCTTACAATAAAAAAGAAGTAACTATGAAAGGTGATGGATATGTTGATTTGCTTACCTATAGTAACCATTTCACTATGCATATTTCTATCAAAATAAGTTAAACATCTTAAATATATACAATAAAAAATGAACCTCAAAAAAAAGAAGATAAAACTTTTTTTATGTTTTTATAAAACAGTGGGGCTGTGACTCAGTGGTATCACACTTGCCTGGCATGTGTGAGGCACTGGGTTCGATACTTAGCACCCACATATGGATAAATAAAGGTCTATCAACAATTTAAATTATTTTTAAATTAAAAGGAAGGTAAATTTTAACACTTTAGCACTCACCATCCTCTGTCTAAGTGACCGGGCAATCTGTTTGTTCCTTCTGCACCTCTATTTTATCATCTTTAAAATGATGATAATAAGAGTACCCACATCTATAGGTTGTTGAAAAGTCAAAGGACTAAATTCTTGGGGAGAACTTAAAAGAGTGTCTAGTACAGTAATTTTCCAATAAACAGCAGCCAGTAGAAGTAGTAGCAGCAATAATAGCAATAAAAGCATTAGGAGCTACAGCAGTACCAGGGGGTGGTAATTGTGGTGGTACTTGTCAATAGTAGCAGTAGCAGAAGCACAACAAAGCTCTGTGCTATAACTATGGCCAAATCTGCCCTCCATCAAAAAAAAAAAAAAGGAAGATAAATTGCACAGAGCATCTTCACTTAACATTTATTGTGCTCAAAAGATTTGCTCCCTCATACTTAAGAGACTGAAGGTAAACTACTTTTGTTTATTTGCCTCAAACTTGGGTGAAAAGCACTGGTGGTATGATGCTGTGTTGCATATGTATGGGTTAGCCTCAATAACTTTCTTTCTCTAAATAATAAATATATCAAGCTTACTAAGAACGCCAGGGAACATGCACTCTAAGGGTCAAAGTCTACATTCTGCAAGCTCTGGGAACAACCTTGCCTGCCAAGAACACAGCATTCGCAAAAAGCCTTGCAGTTCAGCCAGCTCTTAGCTAAGACACCAAAGGAAAACAGGTCTCCAAGTACATTAGATTTGTTTCTCATCACCTAGCTAAAAGTTTGTAACCTTAACTTTGAATTATTTTTCTTCCTGGAGGAAACAAACGGGTACACGAAGAGTTAAAAAAAATCAAGCCTACAAAGTGGTGTTGAATATTTTTACAACCCACCAAAGGAAATGAAATTTGAAAGTTGGATGAAGAAAGTTGACTGACAACTAGGAAATATTTAAGGCTTTAGGTTCTTTTACATGTGTTGTGCATTGTACCTTTCTTGGAAGTTATAATATAATAAATTAAATTTTCATTGAAGACACAGAAATGTATTTACAGTAAGGGTATTTTAGAGTATTCTCTAAGTTTCTTCACTTAAAACATATATCCTGGAAGAAATGTAAGACGCTGACCAGTGGGCTGGGGGTTCTACTCAGTAGTAGAGCATTTGCATAGCATGTGCAAGACCCTGAGTTTAATCTCCAGCACTGGAGAGAGAGAAAAAGACAGAGACATAGACAAACTGGCTAATTGATTCACAGACTCTCTTTATCTGTCATGTGACACCAGCAATTTCACTTCTCAGAAAGGAATTTGTTGACATCCCCATCAACCTGACATTATCCAGATCCCTGGCAGAGTTCAGAAGGCAGTGAAGATATGTCTTCATGAAATTCCATAGATGATGCGGCTCTTGCAAACATTGTGGCACTAAGTCAGATTCTGAGATCCTTCCTGGATGCCTGCTAGTTCATAGATCTCATCCTCTCGGTTCAGTTTGGTTTAATTCTCAGAAAGGCATAAACTTAAAGGGATAGCATCTTGCCTAATAGCCATTAAGAAGAAGTCTGGGAAATATTTTTCTCTGGTGCTTATGATGGGGTGGCTCCAGAAAAATCCCTAGATTCTCAGAGCAATGAGTTCACTCTCCCTGACTCTAGGAGTCTTTATTTCACTGGAAATTTTTGAGGAGCATTATCTGAGTCTATTTTTCTCTTACTATCAAAACCAGTTAACTACAAACACACCTATTTTGCCTCCAGCCTATTCCTCAAAGAACTAGAAAAGTCAAAGGACTAAATTCTTGGGGAGAACTTAAAAAAGTGTCTAGTACAGTAAGTTTCCAGTAAACAGCAGCCAGTAGAAGTATAGCCACACTGCCACAGTCTCCATGTCCTGAGTTCATGTTGTCGGCACTTACTGCTGCAGTGAGTGCAGTAACTTACATCTTACCTGGACTTCCTGACTATAGTTAGGGAACTGCTAAATGGTATAACAATGAACCTCCAAACTACTATGACTTAACAGTACTAGTTTATCTCTAGTGTTTCAGTTTGGTGGTAGTCTTCCTCCCAGTGATTCCAGACCCAGGATACTATGCTTCTGCAATACTGTCAGGCAGGAGTCATCAATTTTTTTTCTTTAATGAATCAAATAATAAATATGTCAAGCTTTCTAGGTCATATAGTCTAAGTTGCAACTATTCAACCAGCCATTGTAGCACAAGAGCAACCATATTTATATTCAAACAAGGGTAGCTGTGTTTCACTAGAACTTTAGAATTGAACACTGAAATTTGAATTTCATATAATTTTCATCTGCCATGAAATATTATTCTTATTTTCATCTTTCCCCCAAACATTTAAAAACCATTCTTGGTTTAAGAGCCATATAAAAGCAGCTAGTAGGCTAGATTTGGCCTAAGGACTACAATTTGGTGACTTTCAGAGTAAAAAGAAAATTAAATTTAAAATAATGTGATCTGGATTAGAGCTACTTAGAGTTGCATTGTTTTGTGTTAGCAGCTAGACATAAAATGTTTGCCTGTTTGATTTTTTTTCACAGGCTCTGGAAACATGGCGGTGTCACATCCCATTGCTGCCAGCACACCTGAAGGGAGCAATTATGGGACAATAGGTATTTCCTATGATGAGCCTATTGGTGGAACTTTTTCCTGATCCTGCATAGATTAACATACAAATGGTATTCCAGCCACTAAGAACCATGATCATGGGCAAGTCAGTCTCCTATGAAATAGTCTTTTATTTATAAGAGGAGTCGGTTAGATAATCTGGAAGCTTCCTTCCAGCTCTAAGTTTCTGCAGTTCTCTTGTTCCATTTCTTGTCTCTGCTAGACACACCTGAATCTGTTCCCTATAATGGTTTCCATCAACTCCCAAGGCCTACTAGGGACTTTTACATATCCAGCCCCAGTCTAGGGCATGAAAGATATGTCACAGCGAGCCTGACATCAATTGATCAGTCATTGCATTCTCAGGTTTCAGTGGAGTAAGGGCAGTGGGAAGACTGAGGCAGCTTGTCAGGTGAACCATGGTAGCCTGATAGCCCTCCATTTTGGCTACCTTCACAACTGAGCCTGCTCAGTGCCACCCAGTCATTCCTGTGGCAAACCCAGCACTAATTAAGCTGCCTCAAAGGAACAGAATCACTGTTCCTGCCTTGTGAGCTGGAGCCCACTGAGCACCCTGCCCCTTCCAGGATACCCATGGGCCTGTCAAAGATGCTCCTTAAAATGTCCATGTCCAGGGACTGGGAGTCCTGTGTTCCTACCCTGTTATTCTGTAACTTTGAGCATGTGGGCTCAGTGTAGGCTGTTTATTTTTAGTTCTGTAAGAACAGGATTTTTTTTTTTTTAAGCCATCTGACAGAAGAAATAAAACGGAAGGTAGGCTCCGCTCATGTGCTCAAGCTGCACAAATCCCATCTGCTCTGGGAAACATTCATGGGAACAGAAGAATCCTTCTGCCTGAGAATGTTGTTCTCTTTATATAATCATAGATATGGCATGTGGGGGATTTCTGTGTATAAATACTTTATCCATGAGAAATATATAGCTGCTGGATACGTGTGTGCTTACACATCTTTATGGTAGATGCTACACATAACTATAAGCATATATATGTTTATTTATTTGTTTTCACATTTTAAAATATGAGACATGAAATAAAAGCACAGTGTTATTTTTGTATCCAAATTGTTAATAGAGCAGATGTCTTTATATTCTAAAACATATTCAGCCCTGAAGACAGACAAGCTAAATGTAAAAATAGAAGAGAAAGCTAAATGTCCATGGAGAAGGTATGAGGGAAGAGCATGCCTCATGGGCAAGGAGGGATTTTTGACCAATATGGTACTTTCTAGAATGAGTCAGCACTGTGCTTTATGCAGAGAAATGGACTTCATAGGGGTCCTTGGCTCTTAAAGGCCAGTGGGTTTTCTGTTTCAGATGAGTCGAGCTCCAGCCCTGGAAGGCAGATGTCCCCCTCTGATGGTGGGCAGCCATGCCATTCAGACACAGACAGCTCCGTGGAGGAGAGTGACTTTGACACCATGCCAGATATCGAGAGTGACAAAAACGTCATCCGGACAAAGGTACTTCTTCTGTCTGGCCACGCTTTTTAAGAGGGCAAGAAAGTTCAACTATAGAATAAACTTCACCAGTACCTCGGTTCCCTACAAGAAAATGAAATTTCCTAGAAAGTTGAACTAAAACATAAGTACATAATCAAGGCAATATGCTGTTCACTGTTTTGAGGGGAAAATGTGAGCAATTAAAGATAGAGCATTCAACACTCTCAGGACCTGAGGTGGCTAACTGTGGACAAGAAGAGATGAAGGGATTCAACCAGAGGGAAAGATCCATTGGAGGGGCAGACCTGCAACAGTTCCCAGTTTCTATACATATCGTCTTTCAGGAGTAAAGTTTCTTTCTTTCTGCCATATATTTACCATATTGTACCAGTAAAAGATATGAACATAATCATACAGTTTCAACCTTTTATAATTCAACAACCATGTGGTGTATAGCTCTAAAAGCTGGGAAATCAATACTCGACATATAAGAAGCCTTCAGACACCTAATCATGGTTCCCAGCAGCCAGTTCTTAATATTTGAAGAAAATATAAGGATTTTTTATTGAAGTATCCTTGGAAAGCAAAATTAAAAGAAAAGTCTTGTTGAATAATTTAAATTCTAGGGAAGGATTTAATTGAAATTTGTCAGTCTCCCTGTTTTATGCAAGAAAATTCAGGTACAGATTTGTGTTCTCTTTTTCTCTGGTATCTCAGATGTTCCTTTATCTGTCAGATCTGTCCAGGAAGGACCGGAGAATTGTCAGCAAAAAATATAAGATTTATTTTTGGTAAGTGGATGACCCATTTATTCCCTAAATAAAATCAAACTACTTAAATTTAAGTTCTTTGTAAAAACCGCAACCCTTATGTCACAAGTTGATGCGTAATGAGGCACAGGGATAGGCAATGATGCCACCAGCTAATGATAAATAGACCTGTGGTGGTCATACTCATGGATGCAACCTCCCACCCAGCCAAAAGGTTGAGCAACCAGGCCAGGGCTCCTCCTCCCCTGAGAAAGGCCCAGGCCCTCTTGTGAAGCAACCCTTCCCATTCTTTTCTATTGAAGAATGCCCTATGTCCTTGAACACAGACATTACTGAGAAAACAGGGACAATGGGGCCACATAGAATTTCCTAGTGGGACCATCATTATGGAACTAAGAGTTATCTAAGAGAGCTACACCCTTGGCGTGCAGTCACTCGACCATTACTTGCACTCTGATCACTTTTAATCTAATGGCATCCATTTTCAGCCATTTTACTGCTGTGACAAAAAGACCTGACAAGAACAATTTTAGAGGAGAAAAAATTTACTTGGGGCTTACAATTTTAGAAGTCTCTGTTCAAAGACAGCCAACTCCATTACTCGGTGCCCGAGGTGAGGCAGAACATCATGGCAGAAGAGTTTGGTGGAGGAGAGTGGCTCAGGACACGGCCACCAGGAAGCAGAGAGAGAAACTAAGCTCAGCTCACAAAATATATACTCCAAAGGCATTCCCTCAGGAGCCCCGTTCTTCAGCCTAAAGTCACATGCCTAAAGTCACCATCCAGTTAATCCCTACCAGAGAATTAATGCACTGATTATCTGAAAGCTTTCATAATCCAATCATTTCACCTCTAAATTTTCTTGCATTGTCTTGCACATGAGCTTTTGGGAGACACCTCATATCTAAACTATAACAGCATCCTAAAAATTTAGGCTTTCTTATGCAGTTGAACCAGAAGCAGATTTTATACTATTTTGCTAATGGTTGTATAAAGAGAAAAGGGAAAAGACTAATATTTGTTAGGTGCCAATCATTAGCCTTTAAATGTATCATTTAAGTTAATATTTTCAAAAGCTAATGATAAATAGACCTCCCCTTTAGTCAAGATATTGTGTACCAAATGGAAAAGAAGAGAAGAGGAAAACTAGAGAAACAGGAGCCAAATATCAGCTTCTAGGTGTTTTTGCAAGTTATAGAGTTGTTGTTTGTTTGTTTGTTTGTTTTTAACTGAGCAAAGATTCTGTTCTTAACTTGGAAATATCTGTCTGCGGTTCTTTCTGCCTGCTTAGGAACATCATCACCATCGCTGTGTTTTATGCACTACCTGTGATCCAGTTGGTCATCACCTACCAGACAGTAAGTGCTGCCTCTAGCCCCAGAATCTCAGGAAAGTCTTCACTGTGACCTACCAGAAAGGTGTAACTTGGAATCAGTTCAAGAATTACTTTTCCATTTGGGTTCCAGTTGGACTTCTCTATTGCCTGATTTTTACCAGGCCTTTCAATCTCTTTCCCAACTGTTTGATCACAAAGGAACCTTGGACTTTTTATATCATTTTGTCTACCAACTTGAAATTATTACCTTGCATTCATTCACTTATAATATTTACCAATTGCTTCTGTTATTTTCCGGTCTGAGCTCTCTGATCATCATGGAATAAGGAGTAAAGTTTCAAACCATAACAAAGAAATCTGATATCTATTTTAACCCGTGCCTTCTCATGGAGGTTAAATAGGTTTTGTACAATGAAAGACAGCTTCATGAAGCTAGAAAAATATTAAAACAAAAAGAAAATGTAAAATGTAAATAAAAAAAAAGTTAAACATCAAATAAAGACAATGTCAAAACAGCTTGAGAATTTCCACTGCTCCTTCACAGAACCCGAGGGTCTAAATCACTCACATGTGAGAATTTAATTTGGAGCCAGGTAACTTTAAGTGTGAATTCTCCAGAATTTGAGGCACATGAGAAAGCCACTGTAGAACAACACAGGGCTGAAGACATTTCTGTTGCAGTGGCTCTTAAACTTTGCTGTGCATTAAAATTTCTTGGGATACTTTTAAAAATCCCAGTGTCTAGGCTGGGCCCCAGGAAGATCAGGGTATCAGTGGTACTAGGTATCAATGTTGTTTAAACCCCTACTGATTCCAAAGTACAGCCATGTTTGAGAGCTAATGGTCTAAAAATATTTAGTTCATTCCATACTTGTTACATAATGAGGGCAAGGACTTTATGAGGTTTGAAAAACACTGTTTATAATGTAAATATTCTCTGCATACTTTGGGGCCCCTGTGAGAAAACACAGCTGTGGCCATGCTGTGGCTTGGGTAGGTTCTTGATAGATGGCGATAAATATGGACAGCAGAATGCACACAAGTCTACCTGCTAATGGTGGTTATCATTTCCTCCCAGAGAATGGGGCCACTCCATATTCCCCAGCATTTATAAAGAAAATAGGGCCTAGCAAGGCAGACTTACAAAACAGGTGCAAATGATAGTATTCTTTCATAGTCCTTTTATTATGATAATAGAGGACCTACACTTGGCTGAATTCCATCTTGAGGCCACTTAGTGAGGCACATAGAATGTCTGCATTCAAAGCACAATGGTGCTGGACCTGGAAGGGCACACCTATAATCCCAGTTACTCAGGAGGCTGAGGAAGGAGGATTACAAATTCGAGGATAGCCTCAGAAAATTAGCAAGGCCCTAGGCAACTTAGTGAGACACTGACTCAGAAATTAAAAAGAACTGGGATGTGGCTCAGTGGTAAAGCATGTTTGAATTCATCCCCCAATTCAAAAAAAAAAAAAAAAAAGCACGTTGCTAACATTTATGGGAAACGTGCCTGTGATATGCAACAGTGGTAAAGAATGAACCAGCCCTAACAAGGAAAGCTCACCAGATACACAGTAAGCCACTGACAGGACATGGCTGGGTGCCCCGTCTGCTCTTTGTGACTTCAGGTGGGGCTCGGAGGATGGAGAAAAACCACATTTCCTCTTCTCACACTTGATTTTACAGGTGGTAAATGTCACTGGCAACCAGGACATCTGCTACTACAACTTCCTCTGTGCTCACCCCTTGGGCGTCCTGAGGTAAACCCAGTCCTCTGGTTGCTCATGAGGCATGTAGAGGTTCCTTTCTGTCTAATGTGGTTTCAGTTTTCAAAAACATTAAAAGCAACTGTGGAAAACTACTCCAATTAGGGTAAAGAGGAACTAAACCCAGTGGTTAAGAGCAGGTATGCTTCTCATTCCTGAGAGCCCTCCGGCCACATTCCTAAAATCCCCTGCTGAGAAGCAGGCAACAGTGTTTTTGAAAAGGTCAGGTCCCTAGTTGTCATGACATGAGCTCATGGACGTGAGCTGGCAGCCTGTAGTCTCATTCAGTCTATCCAAAAACTCATGAGATAGATGCTCATTGCCAGCACTTTTTAGATGAAGATGCTTAGGCATAGCCAGGTAGGGACTTGCTGAAGCTCCCTCAGCTATTAGTGATATGAGGACCTCACCCCAGGCCTGCAGCCATCATGGCTGATCTCTAGCTAGAACTTGATGACAAGGAAAGAACACTTTTCTGGAGGTTGGCTTCTTGTTCCAGAGCTAAATCAGCTTTCATTTCCTGATGTAAAGCTGTTGGCTGTGATTGGCCAACATTTGTCCTTAAGTTCACAGTTAGTGAATATGCTATGTAACTTGAATATTGCTACAGACTTGGGTCAGCTTTCTTTCCTAGGACTTATACTTTGCTGTGCCATGGAGACAAGAAGAGATGGGGCCAGTGTTAGGGATGCTGAGCGGGCATTCCTGAAAGGGAATAGACATATTATCATAAGCTAAATAAACATCTTAAAATGAAGGAGCTAGGTTAAAGAGGATTTTCTGTGGCTTTCCAGTCCTGAAATCTTAAGGACAGGTTGGTGGTGAAAATGCCGAGCTCACTCACTCATTTGTGCATTCATTCATTTTCTGAATTCTCTTGATGACCTTCATCCTCATGGTTTCTCACTCATCCCTTAGTGCCTTCAACAATATTCTGAGTAACCTGGGCCATGTGCTTCTGGGCTTCCTCTTCCTGCTGATAGTCTTGCGCCGGGACATTCTCCATCGAAGAGCCCTGGAAGCCAAGGACATCTTTGCTATGGTGAGGACAGTGTGGGCAAATCAGAGGTAGGAGCTGGGAATGACCATGATTCCAGACAGGATCTGCAAAGCAGAGGGACATCTGGCTTGATGTTGGGATGATATATTACATATAATGAGCTGCTTGAGGCCAAAAGCCTAGGCTTTCACGTTCTGGGAGCACATCACTAACCAGTGTCCTCCTTTCGACCTACCTTTTTCTTTTTTCAGGAGTACGGGATTCCCAAACACTTTGGTCTCTTCTACGCTATGGGCATTGCACTGATGATGGAAGGAGTGCTCAGTGCTTGTTACCATGTCTGTCCTAATTACTCCAATTTCCAGTTTGGTAATTAGAATTTATAACAACTACAAAGATTTGAGTTCTAGGAGTCTTATTCTGGGACCTTTCCAAAAATGCTCAACTCAACTTGCAGGAATTAAAAGTCATTTTGTGTGAGCTGAAGTGATCTGAGAGCACCTAACACAAAGTGTGATTTCCACATTTTACCATTTTTCCTTTACACCACGTTTTAGACTAGAAAACACTTGATGCTGAATGATAATCCCATGGAAAGACCTAAAGGAAGACAATGGGCTAAGCATTAGGCAGCAAGTCATGGAGAATCCACCAACAGACTTCTGAAATAACTTGGTGTAATTTAGCAGTTAAACTGCTCTGGAGTAAAAATAATAGGAAACCCAGTTCAGATTGGGTTGAATAATAAGGACATCTAATAGCTCACTCAAAGTACAGAGATAGAAAGGGTTTATGGTTGACGAATCTGTTGACTATGTTTCCATTTTTCTATGGAATCCCTTTGGTTGTACCCAGCCAATATGTTGGTTTTATATTGTGATTAACTTCACTCATGGTGGCAGAAGTAGTTAGAGCAGGTGCTGGCTTCACATCACCATTCCCCAAGTCCAGAGGGGCTTTCAAGCTGGCTTCCAGGGGCCATCATTGAAGAACAAGGAAACTTCAAGAAACCCCCAGAGAATGTTCTCTTACACCTCAAGAGCCCATTCCTGAATTATTCCCTAAATCCTGGTTAGCTCAGGCCTGGGTTGCTACACCAGTCAGCAAAGGAGTTGGGATTTCCTTAGACTAATCAGACCCATCCCTGGAACCAAGGGCAGGACTAGCTTTCCTGAAGCCAAGGGACTGGAAGCATGTTTATTTCTAAATCGAAAGGGGTAAATACTGAGTCAGTATTGAAGCTATTACAAGAGGAGGTAGGGAGGAGTTGAGCTGGTAACCAATTAGCAATGTCCTCCACATTCCAGGGTAAGGATATTTAAAAGAGTCATTTTTATATTTCTTCTCTGGCCTCCTGCTGTTAGAACACCACCATAATTCTGTTATATTTAATCATTTTAAATTATAAAGCCTTTTTAGTAGAGATAACTACAGAGAACAATATCATTCACCACTCTGAATGAAAAAAGTCAACACTTTTAAGTATTTACCTTAGACTTACATTTTAAGAAATAAAGTGTTGTGAACTAAATTCATTTTTCAATATTTTCCCTGGAGGAACAACTAAGATTAATTTGATATTTATCCTTCCAGTTTATTTTTATATTTTAATCACGTTCAAACATAGTAAATTAATGTTAATTTATCACATCGTTTTTCTACCTTCTTTATTCATTCAACAGTGTTTTCAGGATTTTCCAAAACTAAATCAAGAACATGGAATTCATTCATTTTTAAGGATTACCATATTCTATTATAAAAGATATCACATTAACTCCACCATTGAACAACATTTAGATGCCGATATTTTGCTATTACATACAATGAACATCCTTATAAATGTCTCCTTGTGCAGATGTAAGAGAGGTTCCCTGGGAGACCTAGAATTTTGTGAGTCACCTGTATATGCATCTTTTATTTTGCCAAAAAATTAACAAATTTCTCTCCAGAGTATTAATTTGTATTTCCACTAGCTGTATGAGTTTCCATTTCCCCCACACCACCATTAACTTTTGTTATTATCAGACATTTAATTTATTTGCAAAGTTTTTTTTTTATTTTTTTAGTTGTTGATGGACTTTACTTTCTTTATTTTTATGTGGTGCTGAGGATCGAACCCAGTGCTTCATGCATGCTAGGTGAGCACACTACCACTGAGCCACAACCCCAGCATTTTTGCAAAGTTTTGAGTAATATAGGGCCCTGCATTGTCATTCTGCTTTGCATTTTCCCATTTCCCAGTTCTAATTCAGCTAAGCTACATTTAATGACTAGCTATTTTCCATCACTAGGCTATAAAACCACACACACACACACACACACACACACACACACACACACACACAGAGTAATCAATGAGGTTATATTTCAGGGTGCTGAGAGCAACCTCCTACACCCACCTGACATTCATCTTACCATCACACTGCCTAAACTGTCACCATTAGGGATTCTTTTGCTATCACTCTTGAACATCAGCCTTTAAAAAGCAAACACTGTGCAAGTGGGGATAGTTGATTGTTATCCTATTATGTGTTTCTCTTTTAAGAGCCAAGCATGGCCTTGGAGAGGGGTTAGGAATGGAGCACATTGGGTCTGCCTAGAGAGTGCAGCAAGGGAGGCTGACTGCTGCAGGTCTACACACAGTCTGAAGGCAGCAAATACTACATGCACTGAGTGAGGGGGTACTCAGAGTATGTAGGAAACACAGGAGTGTGTCATCTGTCTGTCACCCACTAAACCTCTTGTCTCCTCTCCTCCTCTGGGTCATTAGACACGTCCTTCATGTACATGATCGCTGGCCTCTGCATGCTGAAGCTCTATCAGACCCGCCACCCGGACATCAATGCCAGCGCCTACTCTGCCTATGCCTCCTTTGCCGTGGTCATCATGATCACCGTCCTTGGAGTGGTGCGTTCCTTTCTATATATGTGCCTTCTGTCTGGCTCTCAAAAAGTGCTCTCTTGATGGGCTTTTTGTATTGTTTGTTTGTTTGTTGGACCTCGAGTGCACAGGTTTGGATTTACAGTAATCTTGGGTTCGCTGTCATCCTGGGTCCACTCAAGGCACTCTTACTTATGCAGCTGGTTATTTCTAACAATGTGACATGCTCCTGTAAAATTACCCCTGGATAGTTTTAATATTAAGCTGAGACCTGACTCATTTGAGATTGGAATAGAAACATCCCAGCTGATTTTGGAGAGACCAACCTGAAAAAACAGAACCTACTTTCTGAATGTGCCTGGACCGCAGTGTTGATGGTCTTCAGTTATTTGAAGAGCGTTAGCCCCTACATTAGACCTATGGCCCCATTATTGTGGCCATTTAGCTGCCTTCCCCCCTTTCTTTTTCTTTTCCATTTCCATTTGGCCAGATAGACATTCTTTTTCCTGTCCATTGTGCAGAAAGATCCCTGTGCGTTCCAAGAAGGGGGAGAAAACAAAACGCACACACAGCTCAGTTTTTAACTCCTTAAGTATGCCTAAGAGAATGGTTTTATTTAATGAGTCCTCAGAAGGCTGTAGATCAAGGTAACCTCCATTTTTATTCCTAGGTGTTTGGAAAAAATGATGTGTGGTTCTGGGTCATCTTGTCTGCAATCCATATTCTGGCTTCTCTAGCCCTCAGTACCCAGATCTACTACATGGGTCGTTTCAAGATAGGTGAGTCACCTATTTTTCTATGTGAACACCTGAATTGACTTCCCCTGAAAAAGCAGGAAATTGCCTTCACTCACCCTAACTGATGTGACAGGTCACCATGACTGCATGCTCTGAAGTCTGTGCTGTGTTTCTCTCCAAGAGATTCCTCTCCCTTATATGATTGAATTAGCTGTTATCACTAGTTTTGTTTGCAGCTAAGAAACTAAACTTACTGCACCTCAGAGCCTAGACATACCTCCAGCTCCTAGTTGCAAACACCATATAATTCACTCAACTTTGAAAGTACATTTGAAGAATGGTATGTTTGTCATACCACTAGTCCCACCTAGAGGAACATTTTTCTATTTGCAGTTTTCAAAAAGAAGCATTCCTCTAACTATGCAAAATGGTTGTCAAGAATACATTAGATAGTATTTCCAGGCTCTAGAGCAAGAACTTTTTGAGACAAGTTTGCCAGTTGTAGGTACCTGCTTAACTTTCAAGGACAGTGTGAACTGATCAGGGAGCACTGAGGATTCTGCATGCTTGTGATCTGCTGCTTATTTGTCATACACTGGAGGAACTTTAAGTTGTTTTAGAGCATTTACATTTAAAAAATCATTTTAAGGTGCATGAAGTCAAATTTAAATATTCTTTTGTATATTTAAAGACAAATTATTACATATAAGCTTAGGCCTGCCCCTGATATTCACAGAGCCCAGGGGAAGAATGCAAACTATATGAATATAAACCAGAGGAGGGGGCTCTGCAGACCCTGAGAGCAGGCCGTGGTTATCTGAGAAGAAAATTTTTAGTTCCAGGAATTGAGAATGAGATCCAGAAAAGGGAGGATTAGTCCCCTTACCCTGCAGACTTCTCACTCATGGGGGAATGAAGGTCCTCTAAAATAAAGGACCCCTTTGGCCCAGGTCTAAGAGCAATTCAATATAAACAAATGGCCTGAAGTCCAGAAGATCAAATAAGATACATTCTCATGCTCACAGTTTAATTTGCTTTGGGCATGATAAGTTGACCTACCCTTGGCATTAACATAGCCAGTGTACCTTCAAATGCCCCAGTGGCACTAGCCATTGGAGTAGAACATTTGATAAGTTGCTTTGGTCATGCCCCGTCTTCCAGAACAAAGGTAAGTGGAGTCATGTAAACCAGACTTTGATAAGGAAAATAAATTAGAATGTTGTCATTCTGGTTTCTTCTAGAGTTAAAGAAACAAAAGAACAACTTGAAAACAGACATAGGTAATGGTAATGACTACCACCATGGTCATGCTATCCTAATGGTCCCAATGGGACCAAAGGTAATACAATATTAAATTCGTTTACCTTTTAAACAAGAAGGAATTTCATGTTATGCTATGACCATGCAATAATTTATGAGAGTCCTGACAGGAAAATGATGTCACACACAAAAATTGATGACAATTTATTCACAAAGGGACTAGTCACAAGACATGGGTGGAGTAGAGGAGAATGGAAAGGCTCACTGGCATTGGGCCTTTACCGTCCATAAACCCCAAAGAAAGGTAGGAAATGGTTACCAAAATGTGTCATAGAGAGGAAGTCACTCTGAAAGGAATAGTGACCTCCAGTGACAGACATGGTCTCCCCTCTCACGGAGGGCTGCAGGGAAATAACCTCTCTGAGCTGTTTCTCTTTCCTTTGTCCCTTGAGTTTTGCCAGTACTCCCCATTTTCTTCATCCAAAGACAGTGAGCGAACCCACTGTAGTCATACAGCCTCCCCAGGGAGGCACAGGACAAAGAGACAAATGGTAACAGGACAATGGCTGGCATAGGGTTGAACTAAGTATTTTCAAGTTCTATGCCCAGGGAGTCTTTCCTGGGTGGTTATAGATTTACCAGAGTCAGAAGGAAAGCTTACTATTTCCTTGTGACAATGATTATGTTTACAGTTAGTTCAAAAGTCAGAGGTGATTAGTGGACAGTGGTTGAACCCACTCTGACTTCTCTATCCATTTCCCAGGCTACCATTGTTTTTTAAATAGGAGTGGCCCTGAGGTTACTCAAGAAAATAAGCATAGACATAGGAAAGACAGCAGAGATGAAACAGAACATTTCAAAAATAGAACAGAAAGTCATAGAGCTACCTGCCCAGATCACAACCGTGTCCCTTAGTCCCAGAGCTCTAGAAAAGGACTTCAGGAATTGTTCATGAGAGAGGATGGAGTATAAATTGTAATTCGTGCACAAAAGTAAACAGGGAGAGAGAAAAGTCTTGATTCATTCCTTGAGGAGTCAATTTCTGATTGTTTGAGATAGGCAGAAAGATTCTGTGTTCTTTCTGATGAGCAAACGTTACTTTATAATTAGAAAATAATAGCCATCATTTTGAGAAAATAATAAAATGACCAGTAGTCTACCCATTTGGTTTCCTTCTTACAAATCATTTCTTTCTCTCTTTTCTTCTCTGCCTCCCACTGATTCAGATGTGTCTGACACAGGTAATGTCCTGCCATCCTTCCCAATGTTCTAGATTGTTTCCTTATTAAAGAAGCCCATCAGGCTGTCAGCTCTGCTCCGTGGACAGGTCAGGCAGTATTGTTGTGGTGGGATGGAGGGAGGCTCAGAGCCGAGGCTGAATTCCAAACCAACCTCTTCTGGGTTGTCACATAGGTAGACCCCTCACTCCTGGTTAAATTCAGTGTACGAGGTAGCCTTAACAAGGGGTAGCATTCTCATTCTCCTCTAGATATTTTTTGCTTTGTTTTCTAACGGGGCCTCACTATGTTGTCCAGGCTGGTCTTGAACTTGCAATCCCCCTGCCTCCCCATCCCAAATAGCTGGGATTATAGGCATAAAATAGTATTTTCAACAGAACTGGGAACTGAAATGATTATTCTAGACAGACCCAGTGTTGCATTTGATGTCTATAATGTGGGCAGACTCACATAAAGACGGCCCCACCTTTGACCTTGACCCTATTCAATAGCAATTATAACAAACACACTTACTACATTTCATATCTTCCTTTGATAGATTGCATTTTTTAAAAACTTCCCTGTCTTTTTCTTCTCAACTTAACTTACATTCTTTTGGGTCTTTTGACTATTGCTTCAGTACAGATAGGCTTTCTGAACACAGTACAGCCCAGGATCCCTTGGTTCAGTTCTTACTTAACTCATACACTGAGAAATAGAGATGGAACCTTCACAAGCTAAGATTTCCCGTTATCTAAGGAAAGTGGAATGTTTTAAGGTTGATTTGAGGGGACCCATGACATTCTCTGCTGTGAAAGAAATACCTGCAGAGCAAACTGTAAATAAATGGAAGCCAGCTCAGGGAAATAGAATAAGGGACACCGAGCCACTCATGTCGTTTGCAGGTGCTTGTTATTCATGTCCATCTTGCTTGCTGTTCTGGGTTATAATGCATGGATATGGCATTCCCCCCATGACAACACCAACTTTTAAAGCAAACATTTGGTGCTCACCTATTAGGTGCAAAGCATTCTAGTACATTTTCATAAATGAAGACTATAGCATTCCAGCCTCTAAAGCTCCAAATGTTTCCCAGTGTTTGTGTTTTCTCTGACTATCATGGTGTGATTATGTCATCAGCAGATTTGGGAATTTTCCGGCGGGCAGCCATGGTGATATACACAGACTGTATCCAGCAGTGTAGCCGGCCACTATACATGGTACGTGCATGTTCCCTTGTTCCTTGGCCTTCTCCCAAAAAGTGTGTGGGGCGGGGGACAGCAGGAGGTACAGGCTTGGGGCAGTCACTCAAAGCTTCAAAAATCCAAAGGGCCAGATGGCTCAGAGTGGCTGGGATCCAGTTAGTGGAGAAAGCATGTTGTTTACTCCTTTTCATAAAAGACAAGCTAGGATGATCCCATTTTTGTAAATGAAATGTTTGCTAATCTATGGGGAAAAAAATTAATAAATTCAAACTTTTAAGTAGTGTTAATTGTTGTGGAAGAGGATCAAGACAGAACATCCCTATAAATAATCACCTAAAGAGGTACCCCGGTGAAATGACAAGGTAGGCTATTAATGTATTAACCAGGACAGCAGGTAAAGACCAGAGTTGTCCCAAGCATACTGGGACATGTAGTCACTCAGTCACTTTCATTAGGAGCTTAATACATTTTACATTAAGTATTTCTTCATTGTTTGGTTTTTACAATAAGCAAAAATTGTGGTTGAAATAAACTTTAGAGACCTCTCTTATAGTTTTTAACATACCGTCCATTTCTACATTCAGCCTAGAGACCAGGGCCCTGGCCAGCTGTCTTTGCACACTGGCTTATGATCTCGGGAAGGCTACTTGTCTGCTCTGAGCTCACTGCCTGAGCCTTTGGTCAGATCTAGTGATACATTTGGGCCTGGTACACAGGAGTTCAACAAATACCTGCTAATAGTTTATAATCAGACCGATTTTTATGTAAAAGAACATGGGAATCTTATAGTCCTCTATAGCTTGAGTAGGAACTACAGGCACTAAAAAATTGAGGAAATTGAGGGTAAAGGGTTTATTCAGGTGGCGAATTAAAAAGCCCATTAGGACCTATGTGTATTTTGAGAGTTACGTATGTTTTAGCTGCAAACCAGGAAGGGCCATTCATGCTTTGTTTGTTTGTTGTTGTTTTACATTAAGTGGTGCTTATAGCAGTTTTAGGTTCATAGCAAAATTAAGCAAAGGTACGGAGATTTTCTGTATCCTCTCTGCTCCTGAATGTGCACACACTCCCCCACTGTCATCATCCCCAACAGAACAGTCCATGGGTTACAACTGATGAACCTACATTGACACATCTTCACCCTACCCATAATTCGCACAGGGTTCACTTGTGTTGTGCTTTCTATGAGTTTTAACAGATAATAATAGCATGTACTGACAACTGTAATGCCATACACAGCAGTGGCACTGCCCTAAAAGTCCTCTGTACTCTCCCTGTTCATCAATCCCTCCATCTTAACCTCTGCTAACCACCAATCTTTTTATTATCCCCATAGTTTTGCATTTTCCAAAATGTCATGTTATTGGAATCACATAATGTGTGGCGTTTTCAAGTTGGCTTTTTTCACTTAGTATCATGCATTTTTAAGGTTCCTCCATATCTTTCTATGGCTTGATAACTAGTTTCTTTTTAATGCTGAATAATATTCCATTATCTAAAGGCTTATTTATTCATTCACCTACTGAAAGACATCTTGATTGCTTCCAAGTTTGGGTAATTATGAATAAAGCTGCTATAACAAATGTGTTCAGGTTTTTGTTGTGGACATAAGTTTTCAACTCATTTGGGAAAATACCAAGGAAAGCAATTGCTGAATCATATGGTAAGCATGTGTTTAGTTTTATAAGAAACTGCCAAACTGTCTTCCAAAATGGCTGTATCATTTTACATTTCCATCAACAATGAACAAAAGTTATTATCATTCCATACCCTTTCAGCATTTGGTGTTGTCAGAGTTTGGGAATTGGGCCATTCTAATCAGTGAATTAATGTTTTTGTTTGTTTGTTTTTTGTTTTTTAAATAAAGACATTTCCTCCAAATTGGGTGGATCCCTTTTAAAGACAGAGAACTGCTAGTTTTAAATAGAAGATAAGTGACCATGGAAATTAAAATATAATTATTTAGTATCTAAAATTTGAAGTAGTATGCAAAGAAGCAGGAACAGATTATGAATAAACCTCTATCAAAGCAATTACCCTTTAAGATGGACTGTTCCCCTGTATTTTATCTTCTAATCAATAGCTATATTGTCTAGACTGTGTGTCGTAGAGACCAGAAGCCTGGGAGTTGCAGGGCCTCCTTGGAGCCAGAGTAATTAGTACAAAACTAACTCCCTCAGTGGTCCTGACAGTTGCAATGGAGGTTATCAAGAAACACAAATCAGAGAATGGGTCCTCAATCACATAGAGCTAAGGACTACTAGATAATCAGCACTACTAGATAATCAGCACTCACCACCAGCCTCACACTAAGAAGTGGGTCCAGCTGCCAAGCTCCACTGAGCCTTGGCGGAAACAGCCAGCATCCTACCTTGCTGACCGCATTTCCTTTTCTTTTCTGGGGACAAGGTCATGTCTGTTTTCAGTGGGGGGCCTTGCCCTCTAGTTCTTGTAGAGGCTTAGTTTCAGAGGATAGGCAAGGCTTTCTTAGAACCACAGAACACGGTAGTCAACAAGGCAATCATTTTCCCATGGTTGATACTTACACCACAGTGGGGTTAAAAAAAAAAAAATCAGCCTGTATGACCTCTCCTTTAATGTTTTCTTTCCTCTTTTCCAGGATAGAATGGTGTTGCTCATTGTGGGCAATCTGGTTAACTGGTCCTTGTAAGTAGTCTTAGAAAAATAGGTTTTTGTCTTTATTGATGTCTGTAATACTGTGGTTTAACTTTTCTTGACTATCATTTTTAAAAATATCTTTATTGTTTAGTTGTAGATGGACAATACCTTTATTTATCTTTATGTGGTGTGGAGGCCTGAACCCAGTGCCTCACACATGATAGGCAAGTGCTCTACCACTGAGCCACAGTCCCAGCCCCTCTTGACTGTCATTTTTATAAAGAAATCTGAAATTAAGAAAAGGGTAAGCATATGCTTGCCCTAGAGACTTGATGAAAAGATTTTGTTTTTTGTCTTCTTTTCCCTGCAAAGAAAACACTAAAGTGACAATAGTGGCTTCCTCTAAAGCATTGATACAGTGATTGAGTTCATTTGCTCAAGAAGAAAAACATCTATGAGGACAGATCAGATCATATGGATGGATGAATGGATGGGATGGATTCATAGATTATGCTTGCTCTTAGGAATTGGGCCATTCTAATCAGTGAATTGTATTGCAAAGATGCAATACAATTTTAAATTATTTTGTAGAACTTTTATATAAAGGCTACCCCATAGGCATTCTTTTATTTAAGTTTTTTTAAAAAATTTTAAGCTGTTAATAGGCCTTTAGTTTATTTATTTATATGTGGTGCTGAGAATCAAACCCAGTGCCTCACACATGCCAGGCAAGTGTACTACTGCTGAGCACAGCCCCTCCACCCCCCATAGGCATTCTTTTTGGTAGAATCTCTCTTTTTTTGTTGTGTACTGTGACTGTCTGTCAAAGAGAGATGGGGGAGTGGCGGAGCATAAGAGCAAGAGCAAGTCTTTTTCCTATTTCCTTCTTTCCCTCTGGGTCTCCTTATTCCTCCTCCACCTTTATCATTTTTCTTTCTCTTTTTGTCTTTTGTCATCCCCTTGGCCTTTTTCTTCAAAGTGATTCAAAATAGCTGAGATTATTTTATGCAACCTAGTCTCACTTGACCATGTGAGATATTTTATTGTATTGATAACTTGAAAATAAACAAGTAATTTTAGCTGCTTTTGTTTATGGCTCTTAGCTGATATGTTTCTCTGGGTCAGTGACCTTTGATAGAAAAATGTATGCTCTTGGCACACTTTAAGACATATGAAGCATGAAGAAAGAGACAGACCTTCAGAATCAACCCAAAACAATTAGCTGGGATGGTGGGCATGTGCCACTGTGCTCCAACCTCTTAATAATGAACAACCTATGACTGTGAACCCAGGGATTCAGAATCACCTGGCTCATCTCTGCCTCACATACAATTAAAACCAAACCTACAGTCTTCTCACAAGATAAGATAAATGACCTCTCTCTTCTTAGACACCTCTGTGAGATACTAGGGTCTACACATGTACAAGGTGCTATAACACACTAACACCCTGATTACCTGCTAGAGAGCTCCTCCCTCTCAGTAGCTCTGCAAAGACACATTGTGAGTTGGTATGAATGGTGTTTTAAAGAGAATCACTTTCCTATGATATGAAGAGGAATAATGGTGTGTGTGTGTGTGCGTGTGTGTGTGTGTAAAGAGAGAGGTATGTAGTATACATGTGTATGTGTATGCATTTGTACAGAAGTGTATATACATATATGTGCACACAGTAATATGACTATTAAATGTATACATATCTGTGTGTGTGTGTGACTAGAGAGAGAGAGCAAGAATCAAAAAGCGAGTATGCAAAAAGCTAATAATTGGTGGATCTGATTAAAATCTGTGCAAGAGATTTTTAGTTTACTGAAGATTTCAAAATCTAGAAGGCAGAAGTTTCCTGTATTATAAGTCAGTTGGGATTCAAAGGGAATCAAATGAAAGTCTGTTAATAACAGTTGACATGCTTAGGAATAAAATTTGAGAGATGTGTAGAACCTCTTTTCAGAAAATTTGATTGTCTTATTAGGAGATATAAAAGAAAACCTAACTAAATGAAGAGAAGTATCAGGGTCTGGGCAGGAAGATTAACTATTGTAAAGATATCTGTTTTCAAGTTAATATATAAATTTGGATTTGAGCTATAATTAAATTAGTGGGATTTTATTCTAAAATTTATTTGCCCAGTTAGATGAAAATTTCAAAGATCCCTGAAAAGTAAGATAAACAGAAGTAAGGAGGGGCAGAGAGGTATAGTGACCACCTCCACATCATCCAGTAGAACTTTCTGGAATGATAGAAGTGTTCTGAACTTCATTGTCCAATACAGGATCTATTAGTACTACTGAGAACCTGAAACGTGTCTACTGTGACTAAGGAATTGGATTTTCAATATTATTTATTAATATTTTCAATATTATTTAACTTCAATTAATAATAAATTTAAATAACCACATGAGGCTACTACATGGGATATTGCAGTTTAGCTCGAACAGAATTGTGAAGGTATTCATTTATTCATTGCAGAAATGTTTATGATCATGAAAAACTGAAGGATAAGATGACTGTGTACAGCACATTCACTTTGTGAACTTTTACATAGTCATTAGAAATGAATGTTTTGAAGATGTAGTAATTTAAAAGTTCAGCATATAGTCACGTGTTGCACAGTGACATTTTAGTCAGTGGAAGACCACATATAAACACTGGTCCCATAAGATGATATTGCCTAGTGATGTAGCAGCCGTCCTTATGTTTTGTGAGTATACTCCTGGATGCTTGTCAATTTGACAGGGGCCAAATTGCCTAACGATTCATCTCTCAAAACATCCCCATCATTAAGTGATGCATGACAGTATGCTAAAGTGGGTTTTTTAATGAACTCCTCCCCCTCCAAAACAGAGTAAGGCAGGGAAAAGACAATGATGTAAGAAGCTGCCTTCTCCACTACAAATATTTCTTCCCATGTCCCCAGTGCCCTCTTTGGATTGATCTACCGACCCAGAGACTTTGCATCCTACATGCTGGGCATCTTCATCTGCAACCTGCTGCTGTACCTGGCCTTCTACATCATCATGAAGGTAAGTGCAGGTGTGGGGAGCTGGGAGGGCCCTGCCTGGCAGAGGTTCTGGCCCCAGCTTCACTGCCACTGTGTCTCCCCAACAGCTTCGCAGCTCTGAGAAGGTCCTCCCAGTGCCACTCTTCTGCATTTTGGCCACCGCTGTGGTATGGGCTGCTGCCCTGTATTTTTTCTTCCAGAATCTCAGCAGCTGGGAGGTGAGCAGTTCTCTTTCCATCTTTCCTTTGAACTTTCCTACCACCCTCTTTATCGTGCTTGCTGCTTTTAATATTTTTTACATTTTCTAAATTGAAAGCTTCCTCCAGAAGGGATAGGTTTTATTTTATTTTATTATTATTTTTTTGTGTGTGGTGTTGGAGACTGAACTCAGGGCCTCACGCATGCTAGGCAAGCACTCTACCACTGAGCTTCACCCCCAGCCCAAGGGATGGGTTTTAGTGTCCACACATAAATGTTCAACCATGACATGGGCTCATCATTTTCAGGGTAATACTTTATAAATTTGTAAACCTATAGACACTGCAAATTCAATCTTCATTATGTGTTGTTGTATGATGATTCTGTTCCCAGTAAAGTTTTACTGTATGTAAATGTTTGATAAGTGTATCTTCTCCATCTTTCTCATCACCATCACCCTCTATCAACAAAAACCAAGGGATTGGGAGGGGTTGGGGTTGTTACTACATCCCCTCCAGGATAGGAAAGCTAAGGCCTTGGAAATCAGCACTGTATCTGAGGCATATCACAGGGACGAAGTCTCAGTTCTCCATCATGGCAACCACTACTATTAATTTTAGAACATTTTTGCGTTCCAGAAAGAAACTCCGTAACTATAAGCAGTGACTCCCATTTCTCCCTGATCAGAAACATAAATCCACCTCTGAACATTTTATGTAAATGAAAAAAAATAACATATGGCCTTTCAGTCAGGCTTCTTCTCTCAAGATAATGTTTTAGGTTCACCCAGCTACAGCTATATCAGTACTTTGTATTCTTTTATTGCTTAATAATATTCCACTGTGTGATTACACCACATTATCTATGCATTCACCCACTGATGGACATTTGAGCTGTTTCTACTTTTTGACTTATGAATGATGCTGTGAACATTTGTGTACAAGTTTTGTGTGCAGGTCTGTTTTCTTGGAAGCTAGTTTTTTGAGCTATCTAGTAGCTTCTTTATGGCTTCCTGGATGTGAAACCCTGAAACAGTTGAATTGTGGGAATCTTGCTCCTATCTTGCCTCGCCTTCCTCCAGGGAACCCCGGCAGAATCTCGAGAGAAGAATCGTGAGTGTATCCTGCTGAATTTCTTTGATGACCATGACATTTGGCACTTCCTCTCTGCTACTGCCCTGTTTTTCTCATTCTTGGTGAGTTTATCATGTCTTTTTATTGCTTTTTCTCTTTACATTCTGGTCTCTTCCACTCTTCCTTACACATCCTCTTTTATATTCCTCTATAATTTCCCTTTCCAGTTCCTCATTATAATTCAACATGCAGATCATTTTATTTTTTAAAAATATCGTATCTCAATTTTCATTTTGCTTTTACTTTTCAATAATTTTAGACACAGAGTAACAAAATCGTCTTCCTAACTAACATAGCACATCAGGACTGACTTGGTTATTAGACTCATATGCCCAGAAGTCCCTCCAGGAACCACTTTTGGCATTCACTAAACTTCCTGTAACATTGGGTTATTCCTTCTCTTCCCACTCCTCTGCTCTCACTTAATATTTTATGAATGATTCACAGATTCCTAGAGTGGTTCAGGGCAGCCGCCAGGCCTGTGTTGCCTTCTAACCGTCTGTGCCAAATCTCTGCTGTAATTCCTCTATTTTCTGCCCAAAATTCTTTCCCAGAAGCCATGCATATTTATGTCAACCTGGGATGATAGCTCCCATCATCCTCTAATCTTGTTTTTACATTTCAGAATTAAAAGTCTGTCATGCTTGCACACAGGTTCCCTTGACACCACCACTGGACTCCCAAAGCCATCCACTTAAGCAGTCTCAGGCTGGCCGTACTACCTCAAGAGTGGAGCAGGGCTACCCCCTAGTGTCACCTTTGGGAAGTTCATCCAATCTGTATGAATACTCTGTAGGACTTTTCTTTTTGATAGTCCTGTTCTTGAGAGAGACCGACCACGAAAAATGGAGCTAAGGATTCTATATGGGGAAAGTGGTGGCCAAAGGAACTAGAATTGGAGGAGAAGGCTCATTTCTTATATAGCATTAATCTGTGCAAAAGACTTCATTTTCTTTAAATCTTGACCTAAATGTTACCTTCTAAGTGACTTCCCAGGCCACCCTGTAAAAATTTGCCACACCCAATCCCACATGTCCTATATTCCCTAGTTTAATTTTCATTCTTAGCTCATATAGCTTTCTAAAATACTGTGTTTTACCCATGCATTTGTTTCATGTCGAAAGCCATCTCTTGGATAGAAACTCCCTGAGGGTGGGATATTTCTCTTTTACTCCAACTACATCTTCGGCATCTAGAATAACACATAATAAATTCTCATGACTATTTGAATTAATTAACAAATGAACTATATAGTTATAATAAGTGCTTGTTATGATCAAGACATTGCAGGAGCCACAGAGGATAGGAAAACAATTCAGGAAACAGAGTTTTCACTCTGTGGGAATCACAAAGTAGGGATGTGGTGTGGCTGTGACTAAGCATTCTTTTCATTTCTCTGTCGCTCTCATCTCAGGTTTTGTTAACACTGGATGATGACCTGGATGTGGTTCGGAGAGACCAGATCCCTGTATTCTGAGCCTCCAGTATAAAGAGGGGGACAACAAATGATCCATCTTGGTGCTGATTCTTGAAGAACACAATGACTACAGCAACGAACCCACTGCCAAACACTCCACTCGTCTCTGTGGAGTGAACTCTCATTCACACAGGAAGGAGAGGAGCTGGGGGAGAGCTACACCCTGTAAGAAGGGAGGCAGAAAAAAAGCCACAACTGCAGACAGAGGCAAACCCTGAGAAGCTCAGAAGCACCCAACCTGTGTCTGCATTGTCAACTCAGAGAGTTAGACGTGGACAAAAGCTGCATGACAGTCAACTCACTGTCTGGGACCCTCCCACTCTCACCTGACATTTATCAGGACATGGCTGCATATTTCCCTGGGCCACAGGAATGCCCAGAAAGACCAGCAGCTTGGACTTCCTGCCCAGAAACCTTGGTGTGGCCTTCGCACCTCTGTGATTCCCACTGCTTTATAGGTCCAAAGCACCATCTCATTTCTGCAAGGTCCTGTGAAATTGTGATTTCTCACTGTACTGTGGAGAGGGTGCAGAGGTGGACCAAGCCCCCACCCAGCTGGTAGCCCAGCTAGTCATCTCCTCAGAAGGAACACTGAATGTTCCCCCAGGCTCCTGACACCATGAGGACTCAGGATTAGACACTGTCACACACTCTTCTGAACAGGAAACTATCACTGGGACCAATGCCTGGGTGCTTATCTATTCTCAGTGTCTTAATCTCACCGCTGTGTTGATACTTTACTCTGGCTCCACCTTCTTGGAAAGACCTTAAACCCACTTATCTTAAAATGGAAAGAGAAATGGGAAATTTTCTTCTGGCAGTAGGAGGAGCAGGAAAAATCACTCACAGAACTAAGAGACTGGAAACATCAAGCAGACAGGCTTTGCCTTGTGAACTGGGGCTACTGGAGAAAATCCAGTGAAGCAACAGTATTTGCTCAGCCTCCAGTTCACACAGATCAGTGATGTGCCCACATGACCTTTGGCAGAGAAATAACTGTTCTAACCAGGGGCATCACTCTATGGGCCTCCACAACTGAGCCCCTCAGCTTGCATGATCAGAATTCCAGATTTTCTCCCTGAAGTTCTCAGAAGTTACTCAGGATGAACACATTTTCCTCTGCCTCTCTGGTTGCAAAGAGTACAGCTAATGGAACATTGTGTCTTTTTGCACCTGACCCTCCCCAGCATGGTGTTGAAAAGCTTAGCATTCTGGTTCCCTTCTCACATTGTCTGGCAGCTGTGCCTCTGAGAAGTCCCATTTTGACAGAACATCTGGTTGCCAGGAGTATGATGTAATCAGAAAATAGACATACAAATGTATGCACACATACGTGTTTGCTTGTGAAATTGAAATCACTTCTCATCTCTACTTTCCTAGTCATTCATTAGAGAAGTAGATTGGACATTCTCCTTTAAAATTTTTTTCCTCTCAAATATTTGCATACTGTTCAAAAAAGATACTTTGCAAGTTTGAACAGTATGCTTTTCCTAAATTTTAAAAACACAAATGTGCTTTCTGTGAAATATTTTATGTGCTTTTTCTAAAAATCTCCTAAATTTGTAATTGATCTTCTGTTATTCTTTATTCCTTAAAAATTATTGGTTTCCGTAGGTCACACGGAGGCCACCAATTAAATGGTTGGGTCAATCTAACATGTAAAAAAAATTTTGAACCTATTTCACTCTGACTGACTTGGTGTAATTCTTTTAAGGCACTCAAAGGAGACACTAAAGATATGAACAACAAAGTCCACCCAAGTAAATAAATGTCTCCAGAAGCTTGTTTGGGAAAAACATCAGTGAAAATGGGGAGGGCCCCTGCAGAAAGGGGTGGACTGTTCCTTGCTGTGTTCTGTTAATGTCTGTCTTGTGCAATCAAGTCACACACTGTAGTCAGTTTTGTTCTCTGCAGCAGGACTAAAAACCCAGACTAAGTCTGCTTTTATAAATATAAATTCTAAGTGTACGTGTTGCTAATTCTTTCTATAGCACCAATCTTGTGGTTGGAGGACATAAGAAAGTCATGTAGCTGCATCTGTGGGATTCATATGAGTGCTGGGTAGAAGGGAGCAGCCAGAACTTAGTAGTTTCATGATATATCTTTGGTAGGTAGCACAGTGCCTATGCTAACGTCTGCCTATGCTCATAGACTTAACTTTTCAAAACCAAAAGCAAGGTTAATTCTGGAGGCCAAGTTCAGCGGGAGGTTAACTGAGAAAGCAGTAACTGTGAAGATGAGCTTGGCAAAGCAACCCCAGAAATTATAAGAGCAGTTTAGCTGGAGCGGGTCAGAGTTGTGGCAGCCAGAGGGTAAAAAATGACCTCTTCACACCTCTGACAAATGGGGCTAGAGAGGCAGCCCCACCTGTTATGCTGGATGGCTGAGGGATTAGCCTGGTTTTATTTTAGCAGCAAGACAAGCCAGTGGAAAACCAGAGACTAACTGGGGAAGGGACTTTCCATGACTGAAGGTTATCCCTGAGCCAGCTACTTGGGGCAAATAGTGGCAGCTGCTTACTTTGTACCTCCAAGCATCAACCAGAAAATTCTTGTAGGGTCCCAAAATACATGTCTCAGCAAATCAACACTCACGTTTCTCATTCTGGATGCTGGTCTATCTGAACTGCACCATTCTGGCAGTGCAAGCTACATAGGTTCTGTCTGTGTTCTGGTTGTGTAATGAAAGTGTAAACCTAGTCACAGCTGCTCCACATACAGAAGCAGAAGGGAGTGAGCATGCAGACAGCCTGCGTGCTCACAGAGCCGGGCCACTCACCTCAGAACATCTCAGAACATCTCAGAACACGGTAACAAGAAAGCAGAGAGAGCATTCCTGTCACCAGAGACAAAATATATACCCCAATGGCATGCCCGCAGTGACCTTCGTAACTTCAGCCACACCCTAACTGCCTCCAGTTACCACCCATCTAATCCATTGAAGTGGATTAATGTGCTGATTCAGTTAAGGCTCTGTAACTCAATCCTTTTGCCTCTGAACTTTCTTGGATTTTCTCACATGAGTTTATTAGGGGATACCTCATATCTAACTATAACAGACTGGTTTGTGACAAAGAGGGAAAGATAGCTTTTGAGTGATGAAAATAGAGGTAAGCTAGAAGGAAAAGAAAATTGATTAACTTCATGGAAATCCATGCGTGGTAGTGTTGGTGACACATGATGAATGGAAGCCTACAGAGCATCATTTTAGTGAGAACTCTGGAAAAAGAGTTAAGGAAGGATGACAGGACCAAAGAGAGAGGGCCAAACTTCTGATGTGGTGGGTTTATTTTTGTTTGTTTTCAGATAGACTGATAGCAAAAAGAAAAAGACTTTTGGGTCCACTTGAGCTGAGACTACAAAGACAACTGCAGCTACTACAAGAGGTATTTTTTTTTTTATCTATTCTTTCAGTTGTAGATGGACACGATATCTTTATTTTTTTATTTATTTATTTATTTTTATGTGGTGCTGAGGATCAAACCCAGTGCCTCACACGTGTGAGGCAGGCACTTTACCACTGAGCTACAGCCCCAGCTCTACAATAAGTATTTTAAAACATCATACTTGGACTAACAGGCAAGCTGACACCCCTCTGGACCCCTCTGGACTTATATGGGGAGAAGAAAAGCTGTTGGTCTGGATAAAGACAGAGAAGCAAAAACATAAGAGATGTTTGGAACTGGAAACCTCAAACATTTCATAAGAAAAATACAAGTCCCAGTTTTAACCACAGCAAAGAATTGAAATCTGAAGAGAAAGATAAGATGGTTGGGGTGGGGATCATTTTAATCCATCCTTGAAGAAATAAAAAAGCTTCGTCTCCCAAACTCTCAGAAAACCCCTCCCTGATGGGAGGACAATCATGGAATTGAAGTTTTCAATTTGTACTTTTAGTGTGATTTTACAATTGGCCACTACTACCCTCAGTTCCCATCTCCAACCCCTAGAATATGAAAGTCAGCAGAATTGATTATTAAAACAGCAAATACTCAATCATTATGCACTCTGCCAAGGATTTTTACCTACATTGCAAATCTCATCATGAAAGTCCCCTAAGAAGTTAGGACTCTTACATTATCCCCATTTCCTAAATGGTGAAACTGAAATTTAGAGAAGTCACTGTTTGCTAGGTAAAGTGAATGGTGCAGAACTCTGATAAGTAATCAAAGCGAGTAGTTCAGGTTCTAACCAGAGAAAAGGAAGACAGACAGTGCTGTAATGAGCATTCAACAGTTTATCTGTGCACATACATAGGGGCAAAACACAGACTAGAATTATATAACTATTCAACATATTAACAAAAAGAGAATATTTTTCCAAAATTCAGAAGATCTGTGATTATCATATAATTCCAAGTAACAATGAAATTTACAGTGCTTTTGGAAAGCCATCTAATACAGCTACAGCACAGCTTTGGATCTGTTAGTCTCTCTAAACTGGAACAGCTGGATTCCTGTGAGGGCTGTTGCATCATTTTCTGGGCTTGTTAAGAACCAAAGTCCTGCACTTGGCAAAGTAGACCCAAAGATTCATTTTAAATTAAAATACACATCCCAGTAAAGTGTCAGGTTACCACTAGGAGCCCATTGGTTCAAAATCAAAACTTTAAATAAAGAGAAAGCAAAGGAATGTAGTAGGCTTTTTCAGTTTCTAAAAAACATTCAGAGATTCAAAAAATCTTCAAGAGTCCAGAAGTCCTCCAAATCTACCTCTGAAACTGGCCTCTACTGGCCTGAGCTGAGGGCCAAATCTTCAACTCGCTTCAGTGGTTCAACCATCTTTGTTCTTGGTCCTGGGCCCAGAACTTTCCTCTTAGAAGGAGTAGATTCATCACAGTCAAATTTAGGCAGACAAAGTAGTTGCATTGAACTAGGGAACCATATTTCTTCATTTGGAGTACAGTGAGAATAGTGAGAAATGTTTCTAAGTTTGTTCAAAAAAAAAAAATAAGTGACACAAGTTGTTAGAAACAAGAACACGCTAACCAATTTTCTTCTGTGCAGAGATAGATGTCTGTTGAACTTTTTATTTTGAATATGAATTTTCAAATTTACCCCACAGCATCATTCAAAAGAATGGGACCTAAGGGCTGAGGATACAGCTCAGTTGGTAGAATACTCCCTCATATGCACAAAGCCCTGGATTCAATTCCCAGCACCACACACACACACACACACACACACACACACACACACACACACAAGGAGGGGACCTAAACTAATTGAATCCTGAATTCCCAGAAAACACCCTGAAGCAAGAAATTCTCAATGATGATAATCTTGACTGCAGCCTCTTTCCAGACTTCAGCCTGGAAATGTGATCCACTCAGCCATGTGAGCCATTGCTGAATGTGATAAAGCAATATAAGAAAACACTACAAACAGCTAAACCCACACTGCACAAACTTAGCTAAAAGCAGCATTTCCATAACTTCCCTTAATTCTGTAGCTTATCTGAATGTGTGAAAAATTAAGTGTCACACTGACACTAATTAGCCACCCTACCTGACTTTTGAATCTATCTATCAAGCAGACTAACATCTCCTTAATTTCTCACAGGAAGAAGAAATAGTCTAAGCATCTGTTGACACTGACCAGCTAAATATATCCTAATGGAGATCCTCATTTCAGTCTTCTATGTGGGGAGGGTGGCGTGAGGAAGGCCGTGGAAAGTAATTTCCATATGCATTAAATATTACTTTGCAATGATTTAGAAACACTTTCAAATGTAACACTTCATTTGTCCTTTATAACACCCTGTGTGAAAGGCAGGACTGGTAATAACAACAATAAACAGTTAAGGACACTAATAAGCTAGACATGAAGAAGTTGTGCCACTTGCCTGAAGTCTCAGCCAAATAACACTTTTTTCATATAAAAAGTGCCAAGATCTTGTCTTTTCGAAAGAATGACAGTAAAGCTGGGGATGTAGCTCAGAGGTAAAGCACTTGTCTAGCATGTGCAAGTCCCTGGGTTTGAACCCCAGCAGTGAAAAAAGATAGAAAAATAACTTTAGATTTTGCTGAATCAAAGGAAATTTATCAAGATAAACAACCAATGTTAGTTCAAATTCCATAGTTTTTCCTTAACTTTTTAAAAAATATTTATTGGACACAATATCTTTATTTTATTTTTATGTTGTGCTAAGAATCAAACCCAGTGCCTCACACATGCCAGGCGAGCACGCTACCACTTGAGCCACAATAACTTTTTTAAGTATAAAATATATTTAGTAATGGATTGAGTATAAGATATATTCAGTAATGTACAAAATGTACACTCATCTTAAGTGGATATAGATCAATGGGTTTTACATACACATGTAAATATCCATGTACACAAATGTACACACACCTACGTATGTAACCGCTACCCTGATGCAAGACATTTTCGGCATCCTCAGACCTGTTCTAAGTTCATCTCTGTCCCACAGATAATCAATATTCTGACTTTCTTACATTGATTTTTTTAAAATCTGCTTTTGAAGTTCAAATAAATGGGATCATGCAGGATAAACTCCTCTTTGTCTGGCTTCTTCACTCAATAGGACATCTGCAAGATCTGTCTGCGTGAAGCGGTAGTGTCATTTTGTGATCATGTGACATTTTATTACATATTCTCCTACTGATGGGCATTGGAGTTTTCAGTTTTGGGGATATTGTAAAGAAAGTTGCTCTGACCATTCTTACATGTACTTTGGTGAACTTCTCCCACGGATATATTCTCAGGTCACTATGGAACTGCTGGGTTAGAGGGCAGATGTCTTTATTAGTAAAGAATACTACCAATAGTCTTCCGAAGTAGTTTGACCAGATTTGCATTCCCATCAGCACTGTGTGAGAGCTCCAGTTTTTCCACATCTTTGCCAACTCCTAGCATTTATCATTCAGCCTCTCAAAGTGACAACAAAGTGGTACCTCATCATATTTTACTTTGCCTTTATCTGATGACTAATGATGTTGAACAT